GTGCACGTTGAGGTAATTATGTGAGTCCAAAGTGGGCCTTGAGTACAGTAGGTCAGCTTTACGTTAGGTCATTACCGTCACTTGGTGTTGTATGAGTATAGGCCATTCATTAAACTCAATCCACCAGGCCAGGATTATTGTTTTGTCTGTGTGTAGGTGTGTGGTGTGGTGTGTGGTGTGTGTGTGTGGGGTGTGTGTGGTGTGTGTGTGTGGTGTGTGTGTGTGGTGTGTGTGTGTGTGGTGTGTGGTGTGTAGGGGTGTGTGTAGGGGTGTGTGTGTGTGTGTGTGTGTGTGTGTGTGTGTGTGGTGTGTGTGTGTGTGTGTGTGTGGTGTGTGTGTGTGTGTGGTGTGTGTGTGTGTGTGGTGTGGTGTGTGTGGGTGTGTGTGGTGTGTGGTGTGTGTGTGTGTGTGGTGTGCGTGTGATGTGTGTGTGTGTGTGTGTGTGTGGTGTGTGTGTGTGTGGGGTGTGTGTGGGGTGTGTGTGGTGTGTGTGGTGTGTGTGTGTGGTGTGTGTGTGTGTGTGTGTGTGTGTGTGTGTGTGTGTGTGTGGTGTGTGTGTGTGTGTGGGTGTGGTGTGTGTGTGTGTGTGTGTGGGGTGTGTGTAGGGGTGTGGTGTGTGTGGTGTGTGTGTGTGGTGTGTGGTGTGTGTGTGTGTGGTGTGTGTGGTGTGTGTGTGGTGTGTGTGGTGTGTGTGGGGGTGTGTTTGGTGTGTGTGTGGTGTGTGTGGTGTGTGTGTGGTGTGTGTTTGGTGTGGTGTGGTGTGTGGTGTGTGTGTGGTGTGTGTGTGGTGTGTGTAGGGGTGTGTGTGTTTAGCATGGATTACATTCACTACTACCAAAAATACTCTTAACGTTTTGGCGGTTCATTGTGATCATAATAGCGACATCAGTAAAACAACACTACTCCACCATTCACCTCCGAGGCCACTTGGCGGGTAAAGAGAGTCACTTGGAGGCAACAGAGAAAAGTTTATGAATGTAACCAACAGCTGATGGCCGACAAGAGACTGTTAATATGGCAAGTGTATTTTGGTGGAGAGAGAGAGAGAGAGAGAGAGAGAGAGAGAGAGAGAGAGAGGACTTTGACGCTTATAGACAGCTTAAAGCTGGGGTGCTGATGTAGACCCACGGGGAAGGTGAGGTGAGGCCAGCTATCTTATTGTGTCCACATGGCCAGCTGTCTTTTTGTGGCCATTTGTCCAGCTGTTTATGTGGCCACAGCCAGCTGTCCTATTGAGTCCACATGGCCAGGTTGGTGGGACCAGGTCAAGGTGTGTGTGTTTTCATAATAATCTATTTTTGTATAATTAAATGTAAAAAGTACTTCGAATTAAACCCACCTCTCTCACTATGGCCAGATGGTGAACTGACCGTCTCACCTGTATGGCAATTAGTACACCTTCTCACCTGTATAGTTAGTACACCTTCTCACCCAGTATGGCAATTAGTACACCTTCTCACCTGTATGGCAATTAGTACACCTTCTCACCTGTATGGCAATTAGTACACCTCTCACCTGTATATGGCAATTAACTTCTCACCTGTATGGCATTAGTACACCTTCTCACCTGTATGGCAATTAGTACACCTTCTCACCTGTATCACCTTGGCATTAGTACACCTTCTCACCTGTATGGCAATTAGTACACCTTCTCACCTGTATGGCAATTAGTACACCTTCTCACCTGTATGGCAATTAGTACACCTTCTCACCTGTATGGCAATAGTACACCTTCTCACCTGTATGGCATTTAGTACACCTTCTCACCTGTATGGCAATTAGTACACCTTCTCACCTGTGGCAATTAGTACACCTTCTCCCTGTATGGCAATTAGTACACCTTCTCACCTGTATGGCAATTAGTACACCTTCACCTGTATGACAATTAGTACACCTTCTCACCTGTGGTATTAGTACACCTTCTCACCTGTATGGCAATTAGTACACCTTCTCACCTGTATAATAGTACACCTTCTCACCTGTATGGCAATTAGTACACCTTCTCACCTGTATGGCAATTAGTACACCTTCTCACCTGTATGGCAATTAGTACACCTTGGTTGAGTGATTCGTTTTAGTCCCAGTTTGTATTAGATGATTTACCCTAATTTATATAATACAATATAGTTGTATACTGTATGGGCAGGGTCTTTGTAGCTCAGTTGTATATAGCTCACCACATCCAGTCAATTCAGTCACTAGATCAAGAAACACAGTTATATTCCTTGACACAACAACCAGTCATCACAGTCAGCAGATCGATGACTGTGGTTTATGTATAATTTAGCTAATGACTGTAATTTGGGGATGAAATGTATATGTTTGTGGTAATAAATTGTTTGGGTAGTAATCCATCGTCATCTCTTCATTGATGTTTCTTTTTAATAGATGGATGAAAATTTAGGTTGGAAGGTTAGATTAGGTTTTCGTTTGTTTTTTTTACGATTTACAATAGCTTTTCCTTGTCCTTCATCCTCCCTCCCTTCCTCCCATTCCCTTAACCCTCCTCCTTCCCCTCCACCAACCATTCCTACATGCGACTTACAGCTATACATACACAAAGTGATTAAAAACCTTAAAAGTAATATCCTTGTCAAAGTAATAACCACACACACACACACACACACACACACACACACACACACACACACAACACACACACACACGCCTTGCCCGCTCAAGACACTTTTTCAATCGGTTCAAATTGTTCATCCGACTTTGTAATGTATGCTGGAGGAGAGGAGGTGTAGGGGAGGGGGGCTAAAGGAATGTAGGGGTGGATTGGGGAGGGTAGGGAAATGTTGGGGAGTGATAGGCGGATGGAAGTTACAGGAGTAGGTGTGAGGGAGTGGGAGGAGGTGGAGGGGAGGGGAGGAGGTGTGAGGGGGTGGGAGGAGGTGGAGAGGGGAGGGGAGGAGGTGGAGGGGAGTGGGGGAGGAGGTGGGGGGGAGGGGAGGAGGTGGGGGGGGAGGGGGGGGGAGGAGGTGAGGGAGGGGAGAGGTGGGGAGGGGAGGGGGGAGGGGGGAGGAGGGGGAGGGGAGGGGAGGGAGGTGAGGGAGGGGGAGGTGTGGAAGGGAGGGGGGGGAGGGAGGGGTGTGGGGAGGGAGTGGGGAGGGAGGTGTGGGGAGGGAGGGGAGGAGGTGTGAGGGAGTGGGGAGGAGGTGTGAGGGAGTGGGGAGGAGGTGGGGGAGTGGGGAGGAGGGTGAGGGGAGGGGGAGGAGGTGTGGAGGGGAGTGGGGTGGGAGGTGTGTGGGGGGAGTGGGGGAGGGAGGTGGGAGGGAGTGGGGAGGAGGTGAGGAGTGGGGTGGAGGTGTGGGGAGTGGGGAGGAGGTGGGGGAGTGGGGGGGAGGTGGGGAGGGGAGGAGGGGGGGGAGGGGAGGGTGGGGAGGGGAGGGGAGGAGGGGAGGGAGTGGGGAGGTGGGGGAGGGGGGTGGGAGGTGTGGGGAGGGGAGGAGGTGGAGGGAGGGGGGAGGGGGAGGGGAGTGGGGAGGAGGTGGAGGGAGTGGGGAGGAGGGGGTGGGAGGGGAGGGGGGAGAGGGGAGGGAGGGGGGGGAGAGGTGAGGGAGGGGAGGGAGGTGTGAGGGGAGGGGAGGAGGTGGGAGGGGGGGGAGGAGGTGAGGGAGGGTGGGAGGGGAGTGGGGAGGAGGTGTGAGGGGAGTGGGGAGGGAGGTGTGGGGAGGGGAGGGGAGGAGGTGTGAGGGGAGTGGGGAGGAGGTGGTGAGGGAGTGGGGAGGAGGTGGAGGGAGGGGGGGGGAGGGAGGTGTGGGAGGGGAGGGGTGGAGGGGAGGGAGTGGGGTGGGAGGTGTGGGGGAGGGGGTGGAGGTGTGTGGGGGAGGGGAGGAGGTGTGAGGGAGTGAGGAGGAGGTGCGAGGGAGGAGGAGGTGTGGGGGAGTGGGGAGGAGGTGTGATGTATGGATGAGCAGAAATGGAAGGGAGAGGGGACGCCTCTCCTCTTCAATGTGTCGTCGATGCTCCCTCTCTTCCTCCCGAAGTTTTTCATTAAAAATAGGTGTTTGTGTGTGTGTGTGTGTGTGTGTGTGTGTGTGTGTGTGTGTGTGTGTGTGTGTGTGTGTGTGTGTGTGTGTGTGTGTGTGTGTGTGTGGTTAATTTATGCACCTTAAACGAGTATCTCAATTTATATACTTGTTTGCTTTGTTTGTATATACTGTACTTACGCATGTTTGTTTTATTTCCAGGTAAGGACAGAGGCAGGTGGACGAAGAGGGAATTACTTTAGGCCGAGTGTGTCGCCTGCCATAGGTGTGAGTAGAGTGTTGTTACTCTCTCTCTCATTTCCATATATACTTCGTCCCAGCTACTGGGAAAGGCCGTCTACCCTCCCAGAGACCGATAGACCATTAATAGACCATAGCTAGACCACAATAGACCATAGCTACACCACAATAGACCATAGCTACACCACAATAGACCATAGCTAGACCACAATAGACCATAGCTACACCACAATAGACCATAGCTACACCACAATAGACCATAGCTAGACCACAATAGACCATAGCTACACCACAATAGACCATAGCTAGACCACAATAGTTGACAATAGACCACATTATATAACAAAACTCGTTACGATACATAGTAAATAAAAACTTGAGAGGTCCTTCACCCAAACAGGATCTGGGAATTTACCCGACAGCGTGGACCAGTTTGTAAACACACTCTCTCCTCCTCCTCCTTATCATCATCATCCACCCCTTTTTTTTCTTCCTTTTCTTCTCTCCTCCTCCTCTTCCTCCTCCTCCTCCTCCTCTTCTATATCATCCTTTTTCTCCTCATGCTCTTCCCTCCCTCTTTTTCTCCCCCTTCTCACCTTCCTCCTCCTTCACTTGACATAGTCACTGCTTGCGGCAACTTCCTCCGTCTTGTTGTCGTCGGAAGTGAAGATCACAGGGCCGGAGGCGGTAGTTTTGTCCTCCTCACAAGTTACCATTCGTCGATACTGAACACAGAGGTGACAGCTTATTGTTGATGCCTTGGCGATGTCCGGGAGGTAGGTGGTTGTGGATTCCTGTCTGTGTGTGGGGGGGTGTATGGGCTAGTGTGTGGGGGCCTGTGGAGACCAGTGTGTGGGGATGTGGAGTTAGTGTGTGGGGGCGTGTGGGTTAGTGTGTGGGGGGCCTGTGGGCTAGTGTGTGGGGGGATGTGGGTTGAGGTGTGTGTGGGGGCGTGTGGGTTAGTGTGTGTGGGGGGCGTGTGGGTTGGTGGAGGGATGTGTTAGTGTGTGGAAGTGTATATGTTGTGTCTTACGGAATTGTGGCGTGTGTGTGTGTGTGTGTGTGTGTGTGTGTGTGTGTGTGTGTGTGTGTGTGTGTGTGTATTTGTTTGTTACGTAGAGTGTCTGTGTGTAGGAAGTGTCTGTTTGTCTGTCTGTCTGGTATTTGATAATATTTCAGTTAACTGTCTGAACCACCAAATAGCAAGTATTGTCTTATGGATACGAGGAATTTTCCGGGTCGCTTGGCAGGGGATTTGACTGTTGGGTGATCACCTCTCCCCTCCCCCTCCCTCCCCCTCTCCCCCGCCCTTTTGTTTATAAGAGTAGCGTACAGCAAATACCTCCTCCACTATCCCGGGGTAAAGTTGAAGCCGTCGAAGTGAACGATTGAGCAGAGAGGAAACACAGTAATTGTATTGTCAGCCAACAACACCAAAACAAAATAAACAAAAATAGAGAAATATTTCACCATCATATATAACAAACATTTCTCAACCTGGCTTTTCTGTTTTCGTTTTTTTATTATTATTATTTTTTTTTCAAGACAGGGTTCATTTTTGTTCACTCACTCACTCGTCCATAGGTATAACTCGTGTGATTGTTTTGACTCGAGAGAAAATTCACAATCACTTGGTAGTAAAGTTGCAACACAAACCACAGACCAATACAATACGTTCAGTAAATCACCGCCAGGCACGGAACCCCTGCAGTTAATAATTGCAATTAGTACAGCAACCAGAGCAATCAACGGCCCAGCCAGCTCGTAAAGCCATCAGCGAAGAATCCCAACTCTCTCGTTACATCAAGTGTCGAATCGGATTTCCAAAGTCGAGGGATCGTTAAGTCCTGTGTTAAATCAGGGTCCTTAAACCAGTGTGTTGCTGTATTTCCCTATGTTGAGACTGTCGGGGGGGGCGAAGCATTTCCTCACTACTCCCTTCACTTCACCTCTACTACTTCCCTCACAGCCTCCCTCACTCCCATCTCTCACGGAGGAGGCCCTGAAGGTGGTGGGTGGGTGGCGAGGCTGGGAGGAAGAGGGTTTGTACTAAGAGAGAGAGAGAGAGAGAGAGAGAGAGAGAGAGAGAGAGAGAGAGAGGAGTCCCTGGCCGGAAATTAGAATGTAGAGAGAGATCCTTTCACGGAGTCCTTAAAGGAAGTCCTTGTAAATGAAAGATGAAAGATACTGACTCTAATCTCTCTCTCTCTCTCTCTCTCCTTTTCCCTCTCTCTCTCCCTCTCTTCTCTCTCTCTTATCTCTAAAAGTCGCAAGGGGTTTATCGCCGGGAACAGTCTGCTTCTCTTACCAGGCTATTGAATCGACATTACTCCCTCCCTCTCTTAAGTGGAATCCGTTTTCGATTTTCATTAAAAGTTTTCAAACATCTAAAACCAAGTTCCCGATTCTTGCAAACTACCGAAAAATACTGGATCATTTCTATTCCTATTTTGACTGATAACTTTTTTTTTAATATATACATTACTGTTTACTTGATATTAACTTTGATAGGTTGTTTTTATATATGAATCGTATAGTAAACAGTGGTGGAATTATATATATATTATTAGTGTATATTAAGTGGGGTTATTAACTTGGTGCCTTGAGGTGTAGGAGGGAGTCTGACTTGAAGTTTGTGTAGTAATTATTTATTTAGTGGACAGTAATATGCAAACTAATCTCTGTAGTGAGGATGAGGGACTGTAGAGGTACGGGGGTGAGGGAAGGGGGTACTGGAGGTGGGAGAAGGAGGTACTGGAGGTGAGGGAAGGAAGTACTGGAGGTGGGAGAAGGTGGTACTGGAGGTGGGAGAAGGTGCTGGTAGTGGTGTTGGGAGAAGGAGGTACTGGAGGTGGGAGAAGGTGGTGGTGGTGGGAGAAGGAAGAATATCAAAATTGAATGGGAGGAAGATGATATTGACAGGAAGAGAAGAGAGAACTTGGAGAAGGAGAAGGAGGAGATGGGATGTGTGTGAGGGGGGGGAGGAGAGGAGGAAGGGGGGGGGGAGAGGAGGTACAGTATGTGGGAGGAGAGGGGTGTGGTGGTGGTTATTGTAGGTGGGGATAGTGGTTGTTGTGGTAGCTGTTGGTGGTGGTGGTGGTGGTGGTGGTGGTGGTCGTTGTAGCTGATGGGTAGTGATGATGGTAGTGGAGGTGATGGTGGTAGTGCTGATAGCTGATGGTAGTAGTGGTGATGGTGGTAGTGGTAGCTCCTAGTAGTGGTGATGGTGGTAGTAGTGATGATGGTGGTAGCTGGTGGTGACGATAGTTGCTGGTAGTAGTAGTGATGATAGTGGTTGTTGGTAATAGTGGTGATGGTAGCTGCTAGTAGTAGTAATGATGGTGATAATAGTGGTAGGTGATGGTGGTTGTTGCCGCCACCAGGGAGGGACCAGATATGAACGCGTTAATCAGTCCCGCCAGGTATTAATCAAGCTTCTTAATTAAATCACACGTAGCGTTCCCAATAAGTCATTAATTACCAAGCAGTGCATGGCCAACTGAACCCGTAAATCCATGTTATCAACAGTGATTACCTCTTACAGCAGGGAGAGGCAAGATTACTCTCTCTCTCTCTTCATACTGTGCTGGATGTGATTGGAGGAGGAGCAGAACCTGTGGGGGTGGATTTGTAGGGGGCTAGACTGAGGAGTGTTCGTTGGGGCTGTGAGAGTGAGAGGGAAACACCCATTCCCCTCTCACTTTACACCATAGAACTTTGTCACACGAATAATAATATCAACACAGAAATTTGATACACAATTATTTAAAAGATCAAAAGAGTTATCGAAACCATACACGATAAACAACAGTATTTTTTAACATATTTCAACCACAAAGTTAACACAGCTCTTAACATTCACACCTGGATGAATATAACTTGTTAATGTACACAGCAACCACATTCACTTTACCGCTAATCGACATACTCTCACCTGATGCAAATTAGATTGATAATTTCAGGGTATTTACCTTTTTTTCTGGATATATAAACATTTTTAGCGATATTTAACTTCCTGTAAATATTTAACAATATAACTAACATTAAAGTAACACATTTTGGTCATAGGTCCGACACACTTTATTTTGTATCACTTTTGTAACTTATTTGCGTATGTTTACTTATTTCCCAGTTGATGTAAATAATCGTCGTATTTTTTAAGCGTATTTGAACCTTTCCGACGCCAGTTTTGTTACAATTTTGTTGATATTAAACATTATAGTAAAAAAGGTATAATATTTTATTTTATTTTCGTTTATTATTTATTAATTTATTTATTTTATTTATTTATTTTTGAGGATGAACTTTGATAATAATTAATGTATGTGTTCAGTTGTTGGGAAAGATTAAAAGTTGGTATTTTTTTAATGAAATGTAACTTAGTTTGGTATATTTAAGGAGAGAGAGAGAGAGAGAGAGAGAGAGAGAGAGAGAGAGAGAGAGGACTTACTCACCCTGGCTATTAGATCCTCCTCCAACTACCCTCCCTCACCCCTCCCTCACCCTCCCTCACCCTCACTCCCCTCACCCTCACCTCCTCCTCACCCTCAAAAACTGTACAGGCGAGGTTTTGTGTGTGTGTGTGTGTGTGTGTGTGTGTGTGTGTGTGTGTGTGTGTGTGTGTGTGTGTGTGTGTGTGCCTGAAAATGTACCCATCACCGTGTGTTTTTACCCCGTCAGCGAGTCATGGTTCACGGTGTTTTACCATCACTGTGAGTCTCTCTCGACCTTCCTCCCATTCCCTGGTCTAATTTTTGATCCCTTGATGTTTTGTGTCGTGATGATGGTGTATCCTGTGACGGCATATGGTGTGTAGTTGTGTTGTGTATGGTGTGTAGTGTTGCCTGTGGTGTGTAGGTGTGTTGCTGTAGGAGTGTTTATAGTGTGTGGTGTGTAGTGTATAGTTGTGTAGTGTTACCCATGGTGTGTGGTGTGTTATGTTGCCCATGGTGTGTGGTGTGTTATGTTGCCCATGGTGTGTGGTGTGTTATGTTGCCCATGGTGTGTGTATTGTTACTGTAGTGTATATAGTGTTAGTATAGTGTATGTGTGTGTATATTGTTACTATATAGTCTTTGTTTATTGGATGGTGGTCAAGTGTGCCGACAACACACACACACACACACACACACACACACACACACACACCCTACACCCTCCCTACACCCTCCCTACACCCCCCCCGACACCATCCCCAGTAATTATATCATAATGAAAAACGAACAAATAATTCACCAGTGTCATTATGGGGAACAATTAGCGTGTGGGTTGCGTGACCCCAGGATGCTGCACACACACACACACCGCTACTAATTACCAACACTAAATTATCGGCAAATAATCGGTGGTGTGCGGGATGTGTGCTGGTAATTATATCGGCCAACAACAACACCAACAGTAGCAACGTCACTGGGGGAAAGCTGGGTGTATCCTCTCTCTCTCTCTCTCTCTCGTGGAGGTGTTATTGACAGCCAGAAATTTCTCTCGACATTTTATCTGAGAACGTGAATGTCCTTCCTTGGAATTTTAACTTTAATATTAAAGGACTTGTTGTTTACGACTCTGTGTGTGTGTGTGTGTGTGTGTGTGTGTGTGTGTGTGTGTGTGTGTGTGTGTGTGTGTGTGTGTGTCTGAGTGTGTGTGTGTGTGTGTGTGTGTGTAATATGATATGTATATGTAATAATAATAAACGGTTTATTAATGAGTTATAGCCAGTGGCTGAAAATATACAGACTTACATTTGATTTAGACATAATGATATAATATGCATTGAATACATTTACAGGGCTGTGCAGTACATAAATCAGGAGTTGTTTATTATTTTAACAATAGATGGGATGGTGCTGTTCTTATATCTATAGGTGCGGGCTCTTATGGGCTGAATTTTGTTGTAGTGGCGGACTGCGGGAGTTGGGTGGGGGGCTGCAGGTGGCAGGAGGTGGCGATGGCGAGGGTGGTGCAGTAGTCCACGGCCAAACCTTTCCAGTGCTTGGTGGTGGAGGTCACTGAGGGATGGCATTTCCAGGGTGGAGAGAGCGTTGGTGTAGCCGGAGTATTCTGCGCCGAGCATGATTCTGCAGGCCCTTTTCTGTACCTTCTCTAGCTGACGTTGTTGGGTGGAGTTGAGAGAAGACGACCAGGCTGGTGACGCATACGTTAGTTTGGGGAGAATAGCGTCGTTGTAGATGGTCCTCAGCTCTGGCGTGGGTGTCCCAAGTGACCTAAGTCTTCGTAGCATGTAGAGACGGTACGAGGCTGCCTTGACTGTGTGTGTGTGTGTGTGTGTGTGTGTGTGTGTGTGTGTACGATGCTCTGTTACCCAAACATCCATCCAGTCATCCATAATGGGTTCTTTTTTCTACGTGTTTGAATTTAATAAACACAGGTGTAAAAATGTATTTGAACAGGTGTTAAAATGTATCAAAAACAGGTGTTAAATTAGCGTGTTTCCTGATCTAACTGATGGAGGCGTTCTGCTATTGTGGGTAGTTATATATAGATATATATTTTTTTTTTATTTATTGTGTGGTTGAAATTGGTTAATGATAGGCTTGGTTAATCTTGTTTATTCAGTGAGGTTAATGTGTGGCTTTAACCCTGAATTATCGTATATATGCTTGTGTTATTATCTCCTGGTCAAATTATCATGGGAGTATATAGCAGTTGATGGTCTCTGTCTATGTCTGTCTGTTCTTAGTGTCTGTCTGCCCATACACTCATCTATGTTAGGGTTGGTGTTAAAATGTATTATGTCAGGTGTGTTTTGAAACAGGTGTTAAAATGTATTAGGAAAGGTGTTAAGATATATGAGACATGTGTTATTCTGTATGAAGACAGTTGTGTATTGAGACAGGTGTTAAAATGTATTAGGTCAGGTGTTAAGATATATGAGACATGTGTTATTCTGTATGAAGACAGTTGTGTATTGAGACAGGTGTTAAAATGTATTAATGATTGATATTTTTGTGGGGCATCTCATCGCATCCAATCTTAAGTAATTACAATGACAGTTTACCTATTGCCAGTTTAATGCGACGTTCTCATTGGCTCACAGTTTTCCTTTTTCTTTTGTTATGGAAAATAAGTCCGTAATTTTTGTTTAATATTGATAAGGCTGAGAGAATAATGGTATATTTTTTATTAACTTTCCGCAACACTGATCATTCATCTCCCTGACTCGAGGCCACCCAGCAGCTGGCATGGTCATATCCCCCTCTCACCCCTTAAACCCTCTTCTCCCACCTTCTAAACCCCTCCTCTCCCCTTGCTTTCTCTTTTCCTTTCCTTTCTCCTATCTTCCCTTCCATCCTCTCTCCTCTTTTCCCTCTACCCTTCCCTTCCACTCACCCTTCCTCGCCCCTCTCTCCTCCACCCCTCCCCTCCCGCTGGCCTCAAACATTACGCTAAATCCTCTCTCATAAAAATCTTATATGACAACCCCGTGATCCATAATCCGGACATCAGCCTCCTAACAGCGGGACACAATAGGGCAGAGCGGACACAATTTAACAGACCCCCGACCTTAATATATGCATGGCGGAGGTTGGGTTAGGTTAGGTCACCCCAGGGAGTCGGGAGTAATAACAATAATGTCCGTCCTTTTGTGATGAATGGATCGCCCCTGATATTATTAGAGGTGGATTAGCGAGGTCTTGGTGGATAGAGGGTTAAAGTCCAATCAAATCCACTTCAGGTTGGTGTTTACTATCCTTAAGAACTGTGGATAGGGTTTTTGGGTTGGAGTTTTTGTGTGTTCTGGGATAGTTATGTTAGTATAGAGGATAGTAGAGTTGGTTAGAGGGTGTTTTAAATGGATAGTATCGACTCCGGGGAAGAGTCTTGTGTTATCACGGAATAGTTAATGATAGTCTTGTTTTACTGGGTGATGTAAATGACTAGAACCTATCCCAGGCTAGTAAACTATCCTGGCGAGTAGTTTCAGATTAGCCTTTGGTCTAGGATAGTTGTGTCGGATAATACCAAGGTAGATGATAATGTCGTCAGGTGAAATTTATTTAGGAATGAATTATGTCACCTGTTGGTTCGTTGAATCAGTGACTAATGATGTGATGTTACCTGTTTTATGATGTTACCTGGTTGTGATGTTACCTGTTTATGATGTTACCTGGTTGTGATGTTACCTGTTTATGATGTTACCTGTTTTGTGATGTTAACCTGGTTGTGATGTTACCTGTCTGTGATGTTACCTGTTTATGATGTTACCTGGTTGTGATGTTACCTGTTTATGATGTTACCTGTTTTGTGATATGAGGATTCAATGTCAATTTTTTATCATAGGATTGGAGAAGACTTTATTGTGTGTTTATATAAGCGTCAGGTACAGGGGAGGGTTTTAATTGAGTTAGAGGACTGCCGTTGATAGCCTACACTATCCTGGAGTTAGTATAATTAACGTTAACAACAGGTGTGAGATGAGGTGAGGGAGGGTGAGGGATGGAGAAATGAGGAGGTGTGAAAGGAGGGGAGGTGAAGGGGTGAGGGGAGGGATGCGTGTGGCGTCCGGACAGGTGAGGTGGTGAAGAGGCGGCTGGTAATTAACTGGTCCAGGTGTTGTTGAGGTGTTGCCTTGTCAGAGGTCGGTGTGTGTGTGGGGGGGCGTGTAGAGTGTGCGTGTGTGTTCGTGTATGTTCGTGTGTGTGTGTGTGTGTGTGTGTGTGTGTGTGTGTGTGTGTGTGTGTGTGTGTGTGTTCTTGCTATCATAATCGCAATCTTTCCCCACTCACCTCCTCACCCGTTATTTCATCTCCTCCTCCTTAACCCACCAACCCCCCACGCACCCCTTAACCAATCAACCCCTTCCCCTTAATCCATCAACCCCTTCCCCTAATCCATCAACCCCTTCCCCTTAATCCATCAACCCTTCCCCTAATCCATCAACCCCTTCCCCCTTAATCCATCAACCCTTCCCCTTAATCCATCAACCCTTCCCAATCCATCAACCCCTTCCCCTAATCCATCAACCTTCCCCTTAATCCATCAACCTTCCCCTTAATCCATCAACCCCAAATATCAATCCCAAACTGTCCAGGGCAACAAGTGAAGTAAATGACTATGAAATATATCCCAGTAGAGTTCATGGAGGGGGAGGAAGGCCATTTACTTTCATTTTTCAGGATCAACCGTACAACAGCCTATCAACCAGTTCACTTTATAGGATCCCCTGGGCCAGATCAACCATATGGAGAGACTGGGGTGGGGGAGGATAGGTTGGGGGGGAGGTAGGAGTTGATGGTGTGGGTCGGGGTTGGTGGTGTGGAGTGAGAAGAAGAGTGTGGTGCTGGAGAAGAGCTTGGTTGAGACAGAGGATGGGTCGATGAAGGAGGAAAGAATGTGGGTGAGAGGGAGGGAGGGACGGAGGGAGAGATGATGATGTGGGGGGAATGGTAAACGAATTAAGGAAAGGAGGAGAGGAAGAAGAGATTCGTTTGTACACTCGTCACTATCTCCCTATCTCTCGCCACTGCCAGCCACTATCTCTATCTCTCGCCACTGCCAGCCACTATCTCTCTATATCTCGCCACTGCCAGCCACTATCTCTCTATCTCTCGCCACTGCCAGCCACTATCTCTATATCTCCCACTGCCAGCCACACCCAGCACTATCTCTCTATCTCTCGCCACTGACAGCCACTATCTCTATATCTCGCCTCTGCCAGCCACTATCACCTCCCTATCTCTCTATATCTCGCCACTGCCAGCCACTATCTCTCTATCTCTCGCCACTGGCCACTATCTCTATTCTCTCGCCACTGACAGCCACTATCTCTCTATCTCTCGCCACTGCAGCCACTATCTCTATATCGCCTCGCAGCCACTATCTCTCTAGCTCTCGCCACTGACAGCCACTATCTCTCTATATCTCGCCACTGCCAGCCACTATCTCTCTATCTCTCACCTCAGCCGCATCTCTCTATCTCTCCAGGCCAGCCACTATCTCTCTATCTCTCCCACGACAGCCACTATCTCTCTATATTCTCGCCTCTGCCAGCCACTATCTCTATCTCTCAGCACTGCAGCCACATCAATGTATCAATGTCTCAGGCGTCAATGTCTCATCTCCAGGCGTCAGTGTCTCAGCGTCAATGTCTCAGGCGTCAATGTCTCAGGCGTCAATGTCTCAGGCGTCAATGTCTCAGGCGTCAATGTCTCTCAGGCGTCAATGTCTCAGGCGTCAATGTCTCAGGCGTCAATGTCTCAGGCGTCAATGTCTCAGGCGTCAATGTCTCAGGCGTCAATGTCTCGTCAATCCAAGTCTCAGGCGTCAATGTCTCAGGCGTCAATGTCCCAGGCGTCATGTCTCAGGCGTCAATGTCTCAGGCGTCAATGTCTCAGGCGTCAATGTCTCAGGCGTCAATGTCTCAGGCGTCAATGTCCCAGGCGTCAATGTCTCAGGCGTCAATGTTTTCAAAGATATAAATTTTTAAACACGATAAGTTCAGACGCGCGCATTAGCCAGTTTGATTTGGGTGATAAAGGAATGAGGGGAGAGGGGAGAATGAGGGTATGAAGGAGAAAATGGGCGTTTTGGTGGAAGGAGAAATGGTGGAGGTGTGGAGGAGAAGGGAGGGAAGGAGGAGGAAGAGAGGTGGTTGTGAAGGCGAGAGTTTGTGGAGGTATATGGAAGGGAGGGAAGGAGGTGGTGGAGGTATAAGGAAGGGAGGGAAGGAGGTGGTGGAGGTATAAGGAAGGGGAGGAAGGGAGGTGGTGGAGGTATAGGGAAGGGAGGGAAGGAGGTGGTGGAGGTATAAGGAAGGAGGGAAGGAGGTTGGAGGTATAAGGAAGGGAGGGGGGAGGTAGTAGGAGATGATGATGGATGAGAGAGGAGATAAGGAACAGAGGAGAAGTAGGAGGACAAAAACAGGGAGTAACAGGAGGCAGGCAGGAGGGGAGGAGGAAGAAGGAGGAGGAGGAGGACAAAACAGGGAGTAACAGGAGGCAGGAGGAGGAAGAACGAGGAGGAAAGACCAAGGAAGGAGGAGGAGGAAGTAGACAAAACAGGAAGTCACAGGAGGCAGGAGGTATTGTTTGGCCTCAGAGGAAATATTTAGACAGGAGGCTTTAGCGCGCCTCTTTTATACTGACCGACGATAATCCTTTTATTATATTGGCCTTTGGGGTACAGCGCGTCTAGTCCAGCAGACGGGGGGGTCCAGCGGCCGGTGGGGTCCAGCTGCCGGGGGGGTCTAGTCCAGCGGACGGTGGGGTCCAGCGGCCGGTGAGTCCAGCTGCCGGGGGGTCTGATCCAGCGGACGGTGGGGGTCCAGCTGCGGGGGGTCTAGTCCAGCGGACGGTGGGGGTCCAGCTGCCGGGGGGTCTAGTCCAGCAGACGGTGGGGGTCCAGCGGCCAGTGGGTCCAGCTGCCGTGGGGGCTTAGTCCAGCGGACGGTGGGGGTCCAGCGGACGGTGGGGTCCAGCGGCCGGTGGGGTCCAGCTGCCGGGGGGTCCAGTCCAGCGGACGGTGGGGGTCCAGCGGCCGGGTCCAGCTGCCGGGGGGTCTAGTCCAGCGGACGGTGGGGTCCAGCGGCCGGTGGAGTCCAGTGGCCGGTGGAGTCCAGCCGGGGAGGTCTAGTCCAGCGGACGGTGGGGGTCCAGCGGCCGGTGGAGTCCAGTGGCCGGTGGGGTCCAGCTACGGGGGGGTCCACTCCAGCGGCCGGGGTCCAGCGGCCGGTGGAGCCCAGTGGCCGGTGGGGGTCCAGCTGCCGGGGGGATCCAGTCCAGCGGACGGTGGGGACCAGCGGCCGGTGGGGTCCAGCGGCCGAGGGTTCCAGCGGTCCTTGGGGTTCAGCGGCCGGTGGGGTCCAGCGGCCGGGGGTTCCAGCGGTCTTTGGGGTTCAGCGGCCGGTGGGGTCCAGCGGCCGGGGGTCCAGTGGCTGGTGGGGGACACGGTAAAAAGAGAGTAGTGATCTTACCTCAAAGGCCCTGTGTTAACTTATTCTGAGGGAGATAGAGGGTGAGAGGTAGAGAGGGTGAGAGGTAGAGAGGGTGAGAGGTAGAGGGTGAGAGGTAGAGAGGGTGAGAGAGAGAGAGAGAGAGTTTAGTATATGTGTATAAATAAGGTGATGGAAAAGTCCTTGTGCACCAGTAATGATTAACAAATATACCTTTATTATAATCAACTATTGTTTATTAACAACAAGTGCACAGGATTTTTCGATCACCATATATATTTTTTTTTCATCAGTTGGAAATGTTGCTGAGAGGGTAGGCTTCAAGGGGGGGTGAGGGGAGGGGTGAGGGGAGGGGATGAGAGAGTTGGGTGTAATGGCCACTTGGGGACCATTTACAAGTCAATCCAGGGAGCGTGGCGCGTGGACTCTTCTTCCCGCAGAAGGAGATGAGCGAGGTACTGTGTCCTGTTTTTGTTTGTTTGTGTCGCCCGATAGTTTAAACAACATAACCTGATATCGGCGTCTTGGTAGGGATTCGAACCCGGGATCACTAAATTGCGTAGACTAGTGTTATAACATCTCCACACAAATTAGATATTGTCTCCTTGTTAGACATTCGAACCGTGATACTCCTGGGTTGTATACATCGTTGTCATAACCACTCCGCCACACGAATTAGTTATCAAACACTGTCACCTTGCATGAGACTCACCAACAAGCACTGGATTACTGAGGGCAGTGTCATAACCACTCCCCCTGGACCTTGTTACTCACCCGTGAAATTCTCTTATTAAACTCAGGAGTGATGTGTGCGGAAGACACCAGTAGCCTCCTTGTTTTGTCAGTTTTAACTCTCTTAAGACCTCCCTCAGGACAGTTACTCACCCTAACCCAACCCACCTTCCTCACCCACCCAGCCCACCCAGCCCACCCCTAGTGTTCCAGACTTAACCCCTCGGCGCACTAGACCTCACTCTCAAAATAATGACAATTTCCCAGATGAAAAATGGTCTTTACGCCCCCAAGAGATAAGGTTGTTTTTCACGGCGGCTGTACACTCCTTTTTTTTCCCAGTGGTTTTATAAGGCTTGGTCCATTGTGTACTCTGAGGGCAGGCGGAGGGGCCCTAATCAGTACGCACGAATTCTGTTATTTCATGCATGGTTGGTGAGGGGAAACCGACACGCCGATGGGGGGAGTGAGGGGAATCGGGGAGTAGTGGCGCCAAGGGTGGTGAGGTGAGGGAGGGGTAGGAGCTGGGGGGGGGAGGGGTGGTGAAGGTAGGTGACTTGATAGAGAGAGGGGAAAAGAAAGGAGTCAAAAGATCCTGATGTGGAAGGGTGATGGGATGGAGATCTGTCCTAGCTGCTGGTCCCCGGGGGAGGAGGAAGGGAGGGGAGGAGATAGTCTTGCTGATGAAGCCAGCTGGTTGGTGAGGGGAAGGTGGGGATGAAGCCAGCTGGTTGGTGAGGGGAAGGTGGGGGAGAATCCAGCTTTGGTTGGTGAGGGGAAGGTGGGGATGAAGCCAGCTGGTTGGTGAGGGGAAGGTGGGGATGAATCCATTGGTTGGTGAGGGGAAGGTGGGGATGAAGCCAGCTGGTTGGTGAGGGGAAGGTGGGGATGAAGCCAGCTGGTTGGTGAGGGGAAGGTGGGGATGAAGCCAGCTGGTTGGTGAGGGGAAGGTGAAGATGGTGAGGAATTTACCTTGGCTTGAGTGTCTTTATAATAATGATGATGATAGATCTACGCTGACTAATGATGTTACTGAAGTATGTGTTGGGAGGTGGGGAGCTAATGTTGGGAGGTGGGGAACTAATGTTGGGAGGTGGGGAGCTAATGTTGGGAGGTGGGGAGCTAATGTTGGGAGGTGGGGAGCTAATGTTGGGAGGTGGGGAGCTAATGTTGGGAGGTGGGGAGCTAATGTTGGGAGGTGGGGAGCCACGCTGAGAAGTGGGAGCTAATGTTGGGAGGTGGGAGCTAATGTTGGGAGGGGAGCCAATGTTGGGTTTTATGAAGGTCAGTAAGGCTCTCGAGAACAATGGATTTGCATAACGTTAATGAAGACATATATTAAGGGAGGCTGATGTGACACCCCTGTTAGTTTACCCCGGGTACGTGGTGGTGTGTAGTGGGAGAGGGAGATGGAAACGGAGGTAATTGGGAGGGAAGACGAGTAGGATAGTGTGGGAGAAGAGGGATGGAAATTGGGAGAAATAAGGGAAGATTGAAGGGGGGTAGGCCGCAGGAGGGGAGAAGTGGGAGGGAGGGGGAAGATTTATGGGAGAGGGGTATTGGAGGCTTAGAGTGAGGGCGGGGGATTAGGGAGCGAGGGTAAGGATGGGGTTAGGGATTGTGGTAAAGAGGGGAGGAGGAGACATAGAATAGAGTGAGTCCTTTTAGGGGATTATTACATCTAAGGACGGGGATGATGGAGGCACTCTGGCACTGTTCTAGGATATGTGTGGCACTTATATTGATATTGAAGCAGTTTATTTAGCCAGAAGAACACAGATACAAAGCTGAAAATAAATAATAATATTAACATGGCTGAGCCAGTTGAGAACCTGAGGCACCTGATATATACTGTACATTTATCTCAAGGAAGTATTATGTAATATTTAGTATCATCTGGAATAGTACAATAGCATGGTGGTAATAAGAACATATCAGAATGTTACCACAGTTATCACTTCGATATTTATCAATATTTATTTATTTTATTTATTTATTATATTTTTTACATTATATAATAAGTATATGCATACTTTACATTGGAGTTAATATACATAAATATGATAAGGGAGGGAGGCAGTACAAAATGGGTTGTATTAAGGTGGAACAAGAGGACAAAGCTGTCAGGATTATGTCTAGTTGGCAAATATATTTATTGCAATGGTAATTTCTATCTATCTATTGTACATGATGATTGATGATAAAACGGTTGTGCTGGTACAATAAAAGCAGGTACTGAAAATATAGTAAGTGTTACAAAAAAATATTAATACTTAGACAATAGATATTTTTTAAAAGATGATTTAAAGGAAGGGAGCGTAGTCTTTGCTGGGATGGGTGGGGGTAAGTTGTTCCACACCTTCACACCGTGATATTTTATGGAGGTCTGGGACTGAGAGGAGCGCATGGGGGGTGGTCTTAGGAGGTCTGGGACTGAGAGGAGCGCATGGGGGGTGGTCTTAGTAGCTCTGGGTGCCTTAAGTTGTTCTGGGATATGTGTGGCACTGTTTTGGGATACGAGTCTGGCACTGTTCTACCAGTGTCAGTATATTGTTGTTTTCTTAATAAAATTATTATCAAAGCGTTTTGGTCTATACATACATACATACATACATACATACATACATACATACATACCCTGTACATACATTGGGCTTCATGGTGTTGATTACTGCCATGGACACCATCACCACCATCATCACCACCAGGCATCACCATCACCTTCTGGAGTAGGTAGTGATGACAATAAGACTGTGGGTAATTATAAAACAAATATCGGAACTCATTAACCCAGCTTAACTTAATGGGCCTTGAAAAAACCCTTAATAATGGAACCGTGAGACCCACCCCACCCCACCCCACCCCACTCTCCACCCCACCCCACTCTCCACCCCACCCCTGGATAATAGGGAGCTTGGAGTGGGGGAGGTAGAAAGCATAATGGTCGATAATCTCAGTAAAAGAGGCACTGGGCTCGGTAATCACCCTCAGACCCCTACACATTAATCCCAGCGTAAATCCTATATCAGAGAACATTGATGCGTTGAAATCTTATACGTGAAGGGATTAATTGTGATTACTGAAAAGAAAACGGGGTGAGGAGGGGGAGGGGTGAGGAGGGGGAGGTGGGATGAGGAGAATGAGGTGGTATATTAATGGGAGACTTGGATCATCGTGAGGACTGTATGAGAGGTGAGGGGTTGAGAGACTGTGTGTGAGAGGTGAGGGGTTGAGATTGTATGGGGAGAGGTGAGGGGTTGACAGATTGTATGTGTGAGGAGGTGAGGGTTGAGAGACTGTGTGTGAGAGGTGAGGGGTTGAGATTGTATGTGAGGAGGTGAGGGTTGAGAGATTGTGGCGTGTGAGGAGGGGTTGAGAGACTGTGTGTGAGAGGTGAGGGTTGAGAGATTGTGTGTGTGAGAGGTGAGGGGTTGAGAGATTGTATGTGAGAGGTGAGGTTGAGACTGTGTGTGAGAGGTGAGGGGTTGAGGGACTGTGTGTGTGAGAGGTGAGGGGTTGAGGGACTGTATGTGTGAGAGGTGAGGGGTTGAGAGACTGTGTGTGTGAGAGGTGAGGGGTTAGAAGCAGTAGATGGAGAAGTCATAAAGACAAGTGTGGGGGAAGATTGGTCAGGTAAGAGGGCTCAAGTAGTGTGGTGTGGTGATGGTGTTGGCGTATGATGTATGTGGTCTCTCTCTCTCTCTCTCTCTCTCTCTCTCTCTCATCACAAATACATCTAATCTTTTTACAACAGCAGCGGTTCCTCCTTTTCAAGAGAGCTGTAACCCCTCTTTTTTTTCCTATTCATCAACACCCTCTTTATACCCATTGCCAGTCTTCCCCTTTTCCCCTTCCCTCTTCCCTCTCCCCATCCCCCCTCTTCACTCTCCACCTTTCACAGACATTCCACCTGACAAACCAAATTTCTCTCTATTTGCCACCCCTCCCTTCTCTGGCCACCCCTCCCTTCTCTCTGGCCACTCCCTCCCCCCTCTGGCCTCCCTCCCTTCTCTGGCCTCCCTCCCTTCTCTCCCCTTCTTTCTTGACATTCTCTCTCCTTCCCCCTTTTACTCACTCCCATCCACAGGACTCCTCCCCATCACAGCAGGATCCCCCTTCCCATCACAGCAGGACTCCTCCCCCTTCAACGCTATCCTCTCCTCCAGAACGGAAATTTGTTCTCTCTCTCTATGGAAACTTTCCTCCAGGCTTCAGCGCCCCTTCTGTCTTAATAGGAGTGAGTTTATTCTCCTCCTGCCGCCCCCAACCAGCACCCTAACCTAACCTAACCAGCAGAACACCAGCTTCCTCCTCCTTCTGCTCCTTACCCCCTCCTTCTTCCTCCTCATCCCCTCCCTCCTCCTCCTCATCCCCTTCCTCCTCCTGTCTCCCACCGAGCCTTCACACCAGCACCATATTCTACCATTAAAGTGAGACACACGCTTGGGCTGCGGTCATTGTCTTCTTCAGTGCACCAGGTAACTTTTCCTGTCGTCACCTTGTTAACGCGCCTCTGGTGTGGGTCGTGTCGTGTGATCGATCTCTCGTGTTCTTTATGTTAGGAACTGTTAACGGATCACCTGAAGATTGTGCACCCCGGTTTATTTCACCTGAAGATTAACCACCATAATACTGTTGCGGTGAGGTTAGGTTAGGTTTGGTTAGGTTAGGTTTGGTTAGGTTAGGTTAGGGTGGTTAAACTTTAGGTGAAATATGAGAGTCGTAGGAGATCACTTGAAGATTAGGGCCCCAGCTTACTTTACCTTTAGATTAACAACCTCAACCCTACCCTAACACAGTGTAGTCCAGCCATCGCCCACCTCAGCGTTGAGCCTCAGTCGTGTGTTTACATCAACGGCGGCATGAGAGAGACAGAGAGCATCGGGCCCCAGTGTTTCCTCCTCCCCCTTGTGGTCTGGGACGCCGCCTCTGAGCGACCACAACTCCAGATGCAGTATTGAGGAAGTTTAATTGGTAATCACTCGTGGGAACCTGTGACCACTCCCGGGCCCTCAGCTTAGTTGGACTCGCTGCTCCTTTTGCTCACTTACAAGAATCGTCTTTTTCTGAGCGTGAAATTGTCGCTTTCAAAACAAACTTGTCGGGAGGACGAGTGTAGTGGTGACAGTGGTGCCAATTGTGTGAGGGAGGAGTGACAGTGTTGCCACTTTTGTGAGGTAGGAGGGCCAGTACAGGTCATCACCTCCTTAATAACACAATTCTGTCATTTGAGCTTCTCTGTGATTTGTTTTCTCGTGTTATTTGTTATTTAGAATGTGAATAGGTTACCTAATGGTCGTTCTTGTTGTAGAGACACTCGTACCGGCAGCGATGTGGTCCTGTGAATGGCTATGATGAAAACACCAACGAGTTTCATTGTATTTCGGACAAGTGCTCAATGTTTAGTGTATCCCACCTCCCTCCCTCCACCGCCACACCTTCTCACACACACCTGATCAAACACTAACTTAAGCCTCGTTAAATACTACATGGTAAGTATTTTTAAGTGTCAACACATAGGCAGTAACACCTATTTTAAGTGGGTATTATTATTATTAAGTGACCAGTGATTTAGACACGGCCAGAAAGACCAGCTACCGACCCCCATGTTGTACCCGGGACGCTGAGAGCCACACAGATGAGGTAGTGTACGCAGGTCTTTGAGTCGAGTCCTGTGATGTTTTGCCCCGACATTGCTCGCTGGGGATCCTACTGCTCTCTGTTGGTTGGGTTTTGTTGACGTTTTGACTTGTGTTTTGGTTGAGAGATTTTGTTTACCTTGTGGTGGTTCTTGTTCTTTTTTATTTATTTATCCTTTTACCTGCATGAAGGTGTTTTTTTCTGTAATGTTGTACACGTCACTTTACTACTACTACTACTACTACTATTACTACTACTTTGCAGTTACTCGTAATGGGGTATGATGGTCATCCAGCGATAACACAGTGATATGAGTTATTAGTGATGTCACCCTAGGCGGCTCGAGAGGTCGATCCTGGACCGACAGATGTTGCACGTGTGGAAGGTTACCTATACTGCGGGAGGCGCTGCGGCGCCGTCTTTCCGGCGTTGGCACTTGTTCCCGGCTTGCAGCCCAGCTAACTCGTAGGTTGTAACACCTCGTGCGGTGCTCCTCCAAGCGTTACGGTGTGGAGTGATGGTTTCCCAGGTGCGGGGGGTCTATTTGGCACTTTTTCAGGTGATGAGTCAAGACTATATACCTTTTCGTTGCTCGTCAGCGCCACGTCTACTCTTTAAATGTCTGTAGAGTAGCTGCTGTCGTCCATGTCTGTCCCATCATAGTTAGTCATGAGTAATGTGATAACGTCAGCCTCGATGCTCCTACAGTTGGTGTCCTGTTGTCTTCCCAGCTGACGAGGAGGATGAGACGTAGACTCTGTTGGTGAAAGCTCTTTACTACCCCGCCCCTCCCCCAGGTAGCGTTAGGGTGGTTAATCTTCAGGTGATCCAAAGACAGCAATATTGATCACACCCTCAGCTCACCCTCATCACACCCTCATCACACCCTCAGCTCACCCTCATCACACCCTTAGCTCACCCTCATCACACCCTCATCACACCCTCATCACACCCTCAGCTCACCCTCATCACACCCTCAGCTCACCCTCACATACATCCTATACATATGTAGGATTATTACACACCTGAGTACACACACACACACACACACACACACCTAAGTACAAGATGCAGAGGTTACAGGTAAGACGCAAGCCAGGTGTGTGGGTGTCTTAGATCCTGTATTATACATGACTTCATAATTTATGAAGAATACAGCACATAAGAGGACTTAGCGGGAAGTCTTATAGTCAGATGTGTAAAGGTATTATAGCCAGTTGTGTAAAGGTATTATAGTCAGTTGTGGTCAGGAGGTCTTATAGCCAGCTGTGTGGAGCGTTTTTTTGTTTTGTTGTATTATGCTCAGTCGCGTATTCATGGAGGTATATACCGATTTATCTTAATCTGTCAGTAAGTTGTGTGTACCTTAAGTTTGTTTGTTTGTTGTTGAGATTTAGGTGGTTCAATTAGCAGCATTATGAATCACCATTAACAAAGCGAGAGAGAGAGAGAGAGAGAGAGAGAGAGAGAGAGAGAGAGATCATAATTAGACTAAAACAGAAGATAAAAACAGATAATGAAAGGAGACAGATAGACAGACAGACACATACAGACAGACAGACACAGACAGACACAGACCGCAAGACCCACACACGACTGCCACCATGGGTTTCTGCGCTACAAAATACCGTGCAAATGACCCACACAAAACAATACATGTGAAATCGATAACCACAGAGGCTAGCTTGAAGAGGTGGGCAAAACTTAGTTCCTGTTACTGTACCGTGTCTACTGTTGCTTCGTTGTCTGCTGCCTCCTACTTCCCGGTACGTGTGTGGTGAGGGGTCCCGGTGCGTGTGTGGTGAGGGGTCCCGGTGCGTGTGTGGTGAGGGGTCCCGGTGCGTGTGTGGTGAGGGGTCCTGGTGCGTGTGTGGTGAGGGGTCCCGGTGCGTGTGTGGTGAGGGGTCCCGGTGTTTGTGGTGAGGGGTCCCGATACGTTTGCCGAACATCCCACACACTTGTACCAACCATCCCACACACCTGTACCAACCAACCTACACATCTGTACCAACCATCCCACACACCTGTACCAACCAACTTACACACCTGTACCAACCATCCCACACCTGTACCAACCATCCCACACACCTGTACCAACCATCCAACACACCTGTACATGTGAAATTTTATTGCCACTTCAAGATTCATGCTGTTGCCAATTGTTGCATACCTGTGTGTGTGTGTGTGTGTGTGTGTGTGTGTGTGTGTGTTTTTCCGTGGTACTGTATGTTTGTGTGCGTTCCGTGTTGGTGTGCGTTCCGTGTTGGTGTGCGTTCCGTGTTGGTGTGCGTTCCGTGTTTGTGTGCGTTCCGTGTTGGTGTGTGTTCCGTGTTTGTTTTGGTGTGTGTTACAATAAGCAAAGGTAGACTATCTTCAGGTGATCCCCTCATTTCACTCTTATTCGTTGGTACTGAATGTCGACGGCTTGGTTCATAAGAAATAATGCATTACTAATTAGATGGTGAGGTAATTATCCTCATTAACTCACCTGTATCGTTGTTTTATGATATATTGTTGTGATGGTCATTAGCAATTCTGTCTGGTGCATAATGAAGACCTGTAACTACTCTCGTGGTAATTAAGTCGTCATAATTTATTCTAATTAACGACTAAAACAAATTAATGGTGACAGACTTATCTAAATTGTCCCCGTCAGTATTGTTGACCTGTTGTGTTGGTGAGGAGGGAGGGAGAGAGAGAGAGGGAGGGAAGGAGGGGGTGAGAGAGGGAAGGAAGGAAGAGGGTGGAGAGAAGGAGGGGCAGAGAGAGGGAGTGAAGGAGGAAAGGAAGGGTTGGAGAGAGGAAGGGAAGGAAGGGGTTGAGAGAGGGAGGGAAGGAAAAGGGCAGAGAGCGGGAGGGGAGGAGAGAGGGAGGGAAGGAAGGGGCTGAGAAAGGGAGAGAAAGAAAGAAGGGGCGGGAGGTGGTGTTATTACTGGACCCGTTACGTGAAGAAGATTACTGTTATGTTCTGTTATTCCCGTTAACAGAGACTTACGGTATTAAAGTGGTGGTGACGATATCCATTCATTGACAGCCCCCCTAAGACAGCCCCCTGGAGAGCCCTGTTAAAGATAGCCCCTCTTGGTGATTCTTTACTGAAGGTAGCCCCCTAAATGATCCTTGTTGAAGTTTTTAACCCTACGTGAGTCAATGTGTTTAATCAGGCTGTTGCTATTTACGGCGGCCATGTCTGTGTGGGGTGAGGGTCATTACGCTATTATGTTATAAAAGTTCACTCTGGGTTAAAGTTCACTCTGGGTTAAAGTTCACTCTGGGCTAAAGTTTACTCTAGGTTAAAGTTCACTCTAGGTTAAAGTTCACTCTAGGTTAAAGTTCACTCTAGGTTAAAGTTCACTCTAGGTTAAAGTTCACTCCGGGTTAAAGTTCACTCTAGGTTAAAGTTCACTCTAGGTTAAAGTTCACTCTAGGTTAAAGTTCACTCTAGGTTAAAGTTCACTCCGGGTTAAAGTTCACCCTGGGTTAAAGTTCTCTGGCTTAAGTTCACTCTGAAGGTTAAAGTTCTTTCTGTTATGACTACTACAATGCACCTTAACCTAACCTAATATTCTGGTTAAGGTGTTGTTCGTGAGGTGTGAGTGAGTTAATGTGAGGGAGTTAGTGAGTGTGTGTGTGTTGGTGGGAGGGAGTCAGTTAGTGTGAGTGAGTTAATGTGAGGGAGTTAGTGTGAGAGTGAGTGAGTGAGTGTGTGTGTGTTGGTGGGAGGGAGTCAGTTAGTGTGAGTGAGTTAATGTGAGGGAGTTAGTGTGTGTGTGTTGGTGGGAGGGAGTCAGTTAGTGTGAGTGAGTTAATGTGAGGGAGTTAGTGTGTGTGTGTTGGTGGGAGGAGTCAGTTAGTGTGGGTGAGTTAATGTGAGGGAGTTGGTAGTGTGTGTGTGTGTTGGTGGGAGAGAGTCAGTTAGTGTGAGTGAGTTAATGTGGGGAGTTAGTGTGAGAGTGATTGAGTGAGTGTGTGTGTTGGGTGGGGAGGGTGGTGGTGTGAGTAGGTTAATGTGAGGAGTGTGTGTGTGTTGGTGGGAGAGTCGGTTAGTGTGAGTGAGTTAATGTGAGGGAGTTAGTGTGAGTGAGTGTGTGTGTTGGTGGGAGGAGTCAGTTAGTGTGAGGTGAGTTAATGTGAGGGAGTTAGTGGTGTGTGTGTGTGTTGGTGGGAGAGTCAGTTAGTGTGAGTGAGTTAATGTGGGGAGTTAGTGAGTGTGTGTGTGTTGGTGGGAGGGAGTCAGTTAATGGTGGGTGTGTGAGGGAGTTAGTGTGAGAGTGATTGAGTGAGTGTGTGTGTGGGAGGAGTCAGTTAGTGTGAGTGAGTTAATGTGAGGGAGTTAGTGTGTGTGTGTTGGTGGGGAGGGAGTCAGTTAGTGTGAGTGAGTTAATGGGGATTAGTGTGTGTGTGTTGGTGGGAGGGAGTCGAGTTAGTGTGAGTGAGTTAATGTGTGAGGGATTAGTGTGTGTGTGTTGGTGGGAGGGAGTCAGTTAGTGTGAGTGAGTTAATGTGAGGGAGTTAGTGTGTGTGTGTTGGTGGGAGGGAGTCAGTTAGTGTGAGTGAGTTAATGTGAGGGAGTTAGTGTGTGTGTGTTGGTGGGAGGGAGTCAGTTAGTGTGAGTGAGTTAATGTGAGGGAGTTAGTGTGAGAGTGAGTGAGTGAGTGTGTGTGTGTTGGTGGGAGGGAGTCAGTTAGTGTGAGTGAGTTAATGTGAGGGAGTTAGTGTGAATGTTTTTAGTTTTTATTTATTTATTTTTATTATTATTTTTATTTACTTTTATCATTTTTTGTTGCCATCATTCCATTACTTTCTTGTGGGTCGCATAATATTTATTTAGTTGTGGTTCATTATAATTTGTTTATCTCTGAATCATTGTTGTTTATATTCGCCCGTAATATTTCTTGTTTTGTTTTTTACTTTTTTAAGAATCGTACTTTATTATTATTATTATTATTATTATTATTAGTAGTAGTAGTAGTAGTAGTAGTAGTAGTAGTAGTGGTGGTAGTTGTTGTTGTTGTTGTTGTTGTTGTTGTTGTTGTTGTTCTTCTTTGCCAGGAGAGAGGGGGGGGATCATGCACCATAATACTTACTACCTCATCTACTAGAGACTGTTAATAGCACTAGTACAGTGACGTAGACACCATCACTATCCCTCCTCCCCCCCCCAAAAAAAAAGTCATGATATGATTAGCTCAGGATTTTTTTTTTTAAACCTTTCATAATTCCCTCATTAACGTAATTTTAAATTTTATATCAAGATCAAACATCCATTTATGAAAAAAATATACCCGTTTGATGTTTAATTAACGAATATATTTTTCATAATCTTGTCAGTATGTTGAAGTAAAAGGGATGGGGTTAAAGGTTAGGTGTCGTGGATAAAATTCAACCCCACAGGAAAAAAAAATAGGTTTAACTTTTGTATTTTATTTTTTTTATGGGAAATATTGTTGTTCTTTGTGCGT